ATTGATCAATGCATTGACTTGGTTTTTGTTGAGTGCAGCATTTAGAGCAATCTCAGCAAACTCAAAGTCTGTGCGCATTCGAAATGGTCGCCAAGATTTCTCAGATTGCGGTGGAGGAGCCTGACTAGCTTCGTCTCATCCACATTCCTCAAATGACTGAATCCGCATCAGAGTTCTTGCACGAGGATGAAACACTGTCTTGATATTGTCAATACATGGCTCGAATATATCTTTATTTGACAGATCATATCAGCACACAATTGAGCTGCCAACTCCTGTAGTCCACAACTACTCACCTTCATCAGATATGTCAGGACCTGCATTCAAGTCATTGGTTGATGCACCGACAGGGCATTCAGCTGGCTCATGCAAGGGCATCTCACCACACGGTGGAGGTCCTTATGGCGATGGCATAAGACAATAATTTGAAGAATATAAGGCTAGCATCATTTACCGTCATAGTGGCCAGCTGCACCTTGAAGACTTGGTGCTTCTGAGACAACTGTCCGAGCAGCTGTAGACATAAGTCAGTTAAATTTACGGCCACATCGCCACCTTCTATGCAGTCAAGGACATTTGCATACCTAAACTCGCAATCCCCGCAAGACGACTCATAAATTCTCGTGCTGCACCTTGCAAGCCATCTGTCTCCACAACTGGAGTTTAATGATAATACCAGAATAAGCCGTGATTTAGAACCTGTATTCCAAGCACTTACTTCGTTCCGGGACCAGCTCTCACAACAGCTTCGCATCACGATCACAATCTCTGGCCTGTCTTAAACATTTTTGCTCATGGCTTGTGATCCCCTTTGCATTGAAAGTCTTGTGACACCTCTCGCATTGACATGTTTGTACAGAGGCACGGTGGCCTTCAGCCTGCAATCAGGTTGTGACCTGCTGTGAGGACATTGCAGAGTTGTACAAGATGTAAGCTCCAGAAAAGGTAAGAGAGCTCAAGATACAAAAGCGAGCAAGACTTGTGAAGCACTTGTAAGACGTCGGGTGGCAAGACGCGGCAATGACACAAGAGGGCGCGCCTTGAAGGAATTGCAACGTGATCGCGTCATGTTACGATTCAAGGTCCGATATGGTAAGTAAATGACTCTAATTGGAATATCATTTTAACAAAATAGTTTATCTTGTAATGCAATTGCAACCGGAATTGCAAACTCGCGGAATTGCAATGTACGTAGGAAATTTCTGACATAGACGATGCAGTTGGTGGTTGCGGTTCAAAATCCATGAAGGCTATGTGGGTGGGCGGTGCGGTTTTCGAGTTCGTGCATGCCGAATATACTACATAGTCGTTCCCCGCTTGTCGTTATCACGGCCATCCGTCGGTTGTGCCCCAATTGATGTCGGTGATCGACCAATCTACGATACCTGAGGCCTGGACGTCGGACATCCTTGACACTCGAAAGGCGACTAGCGCCGCCTCGTCTGGAGGACAAAAAAGCAGCCTGCTCGGTTGTTTAGAAATTTATAAGCGTATTTCAAGTGGCAAGCAGACCGTTATCTCTCAACTTCCTCTCGTTCGCGTGCGGCGTTGGAAATGTAATTGCAGTCCGTGATGACACCCATTCAAGCTTCATTGTGGTCTTCATCTCGGTGAAGACGCCCTGCATGAATTCGTGCCTCCTTCAGGTAGCTCTAGTAAAGCTCCAAAAGAAACGAAGATGAAGCTCGATATCGAGAGTGATCGACATCGGGTACTGAACGATCGAACGCGACGTCAACAACTTCCTTTTGAGAGAGGAGAATGAACGTTTGATGGCTGTGCATTCTGACCAATGGCAATATGCGTCGGAATGGACTGCGTTTGTCCTCCACCGGTCGATGTGGCCTCCTATCTGTTTGCTGCAGTCTCAGCTGTCATGGGTCTGCATGTGTGCCCTATTGTCAGCTCAATGGACGTGTCAGTACGGTGATGAGTACGAACCTCGGGTGTAATACGGTCTTTGCGAAGCATGCCTATGCTGATACGCGCTTTCATACATCTAGGAGGCTGACAGCGGGCTGACAAATGACTGAACAGAAGTCATTATAGAGGAAGGGCAGGTCATGACGGTCGTCCACGTCAGCCACCGCCTGGACCCTGGGCCTCTCCCTCGTTCGCTGTCGTAATTGTCCCGGCGAGTGTGTTTCGCGTTTCTTCACTCTCTGGTTTCCCATGCCATTGCAATTGAACTGGACGAACTGCTTCCTCGTCCCCGCCTTCAAGAGCATGAAGGGTGAGCGAGCTGAGCTGGCTTCGCGTCACATAATGCGAAGTCTGTACGAGGCTGTCTGGAAGGCTGGCGCTCGCGTGTAAATGCTCGTCAGCTAGCAAGTGCGTACGCGGTGAATCCGCTACTTGAACCTCCCTGAAGATAAGGCGGTGTTCTGAGCACTGCTGCCCGAGAACCACCTCAAAGGCAGAATCTCACCAGCGATCTAACATTCTACGAGACCATGCTGCAATATTCACAGTGGACTTACCAAAACAGACGCTTGGCACGGTCTGGGAGTTGAATAGCTCAAAGCCGAACGATTCTGAGCAGGAATGCAAGAACGGCCGGTGCTACACGAGAGCAACTAACCCATCCACTGATACGGATGTGAATCCTTTTGCCGCCATGCTGATGGGAAGCAAGTCAAAGTTGACTCACCGCTGGAGCTGTTCTGGCTTTGAAGAACAAAGCGCGATCATAATCAGGCTGCGTTCTGCGCGTGTGGTTGCCTGAAGATGCGCGCTTCACGGTTACCAAAACGGCAGCCGTATGTGTTGGAAACTGGTGTAAATGGAGCCGTCATCATGGCCGATATATCCTTCGTGATCCGGACGTTTAGACGAAACACAATGGGCTCAAAGAACACCCAAAGCTGGCGAGCAAATGAAAAATCTAAGCATCTCATATTCCAACATCACGCGAATCGAGACGATCGCATACATGTGAGCATGCAGGCCAGCGTCCGATGTTTGTTATTAGCTGTGGCGTCTGTCGACAGACGGATATGCGATTCTTTATCAGGCGCAAACAGGCTAGCCTCACCTGCCCTGCACGGCTCGGACACAGGGGTCCACACGGGTACACCGCAGGCGCAGGAACGGGCATGGAACGCGCGCCACCTTGAGATGAAAGCGACACGAGCGCGGATTCGTGCCTTCCCTGTTTGCTAGTCCTATGAACCTATTGAGAAGGCGCGCATGTAGCCAGCTTGTTCATGGTGTGCACAGGATGGGGGACGCACGTTGTAATGATGCGGACACAATATCCTATGCCGCGATCGCGCGGAGCCTAGATGTATCGCGTTCACGGGGATCCGCATAGCATGCGGAAGGGGAGGCTGCGACGACGACTTGTGCAAAATCAAAAGAAACGCACTTAGGCTACTCGGCTCTGCTTCGCCCTCCACACCCATTTTTTGAGAACTATCGAGCTTGAGCCTAGAGGGTGCTCAAGTGCTCAGATTCGTCCCGAAGGCGCCGATCAGACAGCGTGATGAGCCATCCGAGTCAGTATGAGGCAATGAGACAGCCGTAGAGATCTCATTGGCAGCAGACTGTCGACTGACATGACGCGAGCTGTGACGCGTCTGATATCAAAATAGCACAGAATGATTCTCTGCGATCTCGGCTGGGGGATGCAAAGCCTGGAGGCTCTTCAGAATTGTGACGCCGTCATCGGAGATGATAAGCTTGCCTTTGGAAGTTTGGATCTTGCAGACAGAATCGTTCCACTTTTTCATGGCTAATCAATTAGATGTACCATACCATTTTGTCCGTTCTTTTTGCCCCACTTGAAGTGAACTGGAGATGGCGTCACTGATTGCTTAAAAGCAGCACGCTACAGTTCAGGAGGCATCTCGTAAGTGGCCAGAACGAGATGGTCACCTTTCGAAGTAGTCATATTGGACAATCGAACGTCACTTCCGGAGTAGGTGCTATGAGAATGTGGTAACAGTTCAAGCTCAAGTTCAAGAGAGTGAATAGGCAGTAGTACCTTGTTCTGAAGTGCAGTGTTGCCAGAAAAAGGCCGCGACAATATCGGGAAGACTGGAGCAGAAGGAGGTACTGCTGATGCTATGCCTTCAAAGCCAGATGTATGTACAACGACTACCGGGATCGCCGTCGTTGCAAACAGGAATCAGTGCTCACGCGGCGCTCAGCCACAGCGATACGTGACAAGTGACACGCTTGACATCACGTCCACGGTGAACTGTCACGTTCCTCCACGTTCAGATGTTCTTCCTCCGACTCGGAGTATTCTTGATTTATATTCTGCAAATCACGGTCCATACGAATGCAATCAATTCAATAACTGCTGGTGCGTGCCACCTTGACGACCTTCGAAGAGCACCATGATCCCAGTTGTGCGTCCCTTATCTGCGCAAATGTCGATCGCAGCTTTGCAACTAGATGGCTGCGACGATATACCGACGTTCGGAGCTTGCATTGTATGAGATGGTAAGCCTGCTTCTCTTTCTACTCATGGTGGCCTACAGAATGAGGGCATACAACCCGGCCAAGCTTCGCGCAAATTCGATGATGCTCCAACTAGCCCTGACATCGATGTTTTTCTTAGCACTCAGGTCCAATAATGCTGATCCTTGGTCCGAGTTGCTGTCAATGTCTGAAATAGAAGGGCATGCATGCGACATCCGACCACATTGACGTGATCGCATGATCATAACCCAAAAGGTGTGATATATCCGCGGGTGGCATGATTGATTTCGAGAGATAGATGCGGTTTCCAGGTGTCCGCGACTGGAATTTTCGGGGATGAAAGCAGAATGATTCAAACGCGGATGTTTCGAGACGACAACACATCCGCACACAGGTTTCTGTCGCACAAATTGCGCAGGGCCTGATCTTTGCGACCTGGCCATATATGATGATATCCGAGCAGTCATTCTCAGAACGGTGAATGTAAATTTTCAGGCACGCGGCCAAGGACACCACGGCGCTGGCTGTTGTCTCACCGGGTGTCCCCCTCGCCCGGCGTCACATAAAAATGGTCCGTACGGATGATGCCTGTGCCTCCAGGTGGCCAGGGCTTGAAATTCCCGGGATGGAAGCAGAACGACCCAGCGGATGTTACGAGACGATGGCACATCCGTACACACGTTTCTGTCGTATAAACTACACGGGGTCGGATGTTTACGGCCCGGCCATCTATGGTCAGACCCGAGCAGTCATTCTCAGGACGCGACGAGTGAGAGGTGATTATCAAAGCCTATTCGCTTACGCTTAGTTTGGAAAACTGACCGTTAATTTGAAAGGGCGAAGCATCGTGCTCTCTTCCAGTTGGCCGGCGTCTGTGTTTGTCCATGTGCTGTGATTGTAATGTTACGATGAACGCTACAACAGATCGACGATATGGTGGTCTACGGGGAGCACAATCCTGACGACGGTCAACAGGCCGTCTCGGACTGATATCCATGCCAAGCACTCGTGGTGGATTGTAAGGCGCGCCGGACACGGACAGCAGCACATCCGGCGGACATTCAAAAAGCCGAAGGTGCACACCTTTACAAACACATTGCGAGCAACGAGATTACGGCAGACTTGATCATGGTGTCCTTTAACTGCAACATGGATAGTATAAGAGTTACTGCCGTGCATGGAGTTCAGTCAGATCCCCGAACCTCTTACAGAGACTTCAGCATCCACAGTACGTTGTAATTCTGCTGTATCACATCCAGCTGATGATTCCCTATGCAGCCCACTATAAATTGATCTCAAGATGATGCCATTCTGCCAGTGGAATGGATGCGGCATTCTCCTCCAGGACAACGCTGCGGGCGGTTGTACCCGCCACCTTAAGGACTTCCACTTGCAGCCTTGGAACGGTACCATGACAGCAAGGTGCCTCTGGCTCGTCCATCGCCCGGCCCCTCCTCCTGGCATCCCGCCTCCGCCGCACCACAACTTCTGCTATAGGCAGATCAAGTACGCCAATTTCGGGAAGCACATTGCTTCCGTGCACTTCCGGTCCACCGTGCGCTTCTGCCCGGATTGCCATGCCTCGTTCTCCAGACGTGATGCGCTCAGGAGACACGAGGCGTCGGGTGTTTGTCCCGGGCCAAACCAGGCTGGCGGTAAGCACATCTTTATTTGTTGCCGATGCAATTTGTTCCTGAGCTCGTCATGGTGCAAAGGTGTTCCCCAACAGTGAATGTTATGGTAACACAACTCCGTATCTCGCGTCCCCTTTGTGTTCTCTTCGCCGGCTAGTTGGGACCAGATTATTGCTGCTGGCCAGCACTCTGTGACCTTGTTCGAGCACGTTATTGCACAGTGCATGTTCACGTTCCATGTGCAGTATTTTAATGTCGACGTTGATCGTGAGTTATCTCCAGGTGACGGACAGTCTGAGGAACTCGAAGGTCATCGGGCGACAGTTGGCCGCATCCAATGCTCTATAATGCTCGATTTCCCCGATAACACAGAGTCCATGGCTAGCAACATTTCCACTTTCGCACTTGAAAGAAGTTCATCGAAGCATATTAGCCATTGCCAAGACGCCGATTCGTCAACTGAGAATGATCAGTAGCAGTATCTACGAACTTCTGGCAAGTATCGCACCGCGGACAGTCTCCACATTACTTTGTCAACTCTCTGTCAATTCGAGACGCAATACCTTCGAATTGTGAAGATGTAATTGGCCTGACTATACTATATATACTGTCGTTTATCCATCCCATTGGTCACAGGTCTCATCTGACAACCTCCTGTGACATGGGACCCGGCCCTGTGGCGCGCCAACTCCAGTATGCAGTGAACATCTCCATCCACACACTCGCTTTGGCATGCGCTCCCCCGCTAGAAGCAGCCGGACCGAACACCGTGCCCAGATCATGTCCGATCAAAGCAATATCGTCGGTGACGCTGGCTTACAAGGAGAGTGCCGAATAGAACCAATACTTGATGGTTGCTCGGAAGGACGCGTGTGGACCTCGTCGGTTAAACCGAGGGCTGGTAACCGCTGTTAACGAGAGTGCCGGCTAGCGTCCGATGTTTGTGTTAGACATGGCGTCTATCGACGGACAGATCCGCGGTATTCGTATTGGGCGTAAACGGGCTAGCCTCAAGTACATGTCCTGCAGGCCTCGGCAACGAGGATCTACAGGCGCATATCGCTTCCGCAGGCGCGCACGCGGGCGCGCTACATCAGACGAAAGCGACACTGAGCGCACTTTCGCCCTTCTCTGTCGACTGAAAAGGCAACGTATATAGAGAGTGGGTAACGTACTTTCTGATGATGGGGACAACGTAGCTGCAGCGACGGCGACGGCGACGGCGACGCAAGGACGATGGTGAGGCTACTCGGCCATGCGTCAGCATCATCACGAAACTGGCCAGAAGCGACCACAGAAACTCACCCGAACATCGCATCCGGTGATACATATCGGCTATGGCCCGGAGTCGACATTAGGAATGACCCAATCTATCCCCCACATCTCTTCCGGTGACGACTGTGGAAGAGAGTTGGGTGGAACCTGGACGTCAGACCCTCAGCCTCCACATCTTTCCCGGGTGAAGTTCAACCCCAACACGCAGTGACCGAGCCCGAAGGCGCCCATCCGACAGCGCCGTGAGCCAATGTGAGGCAATGAGACAGCCCTGGAAGCATCATGCTGACAGCAGACCGACGACTAACATCGTGGCGAGCCTAACATCACTGACGACGGCCGTCACCTCTCCCTATCTTCAGCTGACGGCACGCACCCAGGACGCCGCCCAGCAAAGCCATGATCCGCGAGAAGTCTCGGAGGAACCGCGTCTCGTGGGAACAGTTAATTAACGGGTTGGGAGACGTGCAGATGGATCTGCTAGAAGTCGAGGGTCTGGAAATTTTCTAAGTTTGACAAATGTGTGTTACGATTGGCCGCGCGCGAGCAGTTCTTCTTATGTGATATTGTACGCCAGCGCAATTCTCATCCATCCAAGTGCTGTGAAAGGAGTCCCGCTCACTCGGCCCCCGCCCCTGCCGCATGCGCCACCTCTCTTTCCACCGCCGCAAATGCGGCCACGACCACAAGCGGTATCTCTTCAGGGACCGCTCCTCCCCTCCTGACATAGCAACAAGGCGGGTGGGGGTCGGGGGGTCTCAGCCAGAGCCAGGGCCTGAGGATGACGAGTGTGATGGGATGCGGCAAATCTACTGCGTGCCGGCGATAACTAAGAGCGACGGATGCGAGACACGACGAGGTGTTTGATGGGCCTTACTGCACAAAAGGCTGTGTTCTTGTGCTGGTGAGCCCACAATCTGAGAGAATATGCGATACTTTGCGATATTTACTGATATAACCGACAATTACCGGTGAATAGCGATATTATCCATGAATTGTGGTGATCACCGGTGATTTCAATATGTATCAACTTGCATAATGTTGCGTCTCACCGGGTATCACCCTCATTATTGTGTACAGGTTGTTCCTTGCTCACTGGTAATTCCCAGCGTCGGACCAATGTGTTGCCTTCTGCGATACTTGGTGATATCTGCTCATATCACTGACAAGCATCAGTGAATAGTAATATAATTCAAAAATTCTTCATGAATTGCGGTGGTCACCGATGATTTCCATATATAACAACTTGCGCAAAGTTTTGTCCAGTAAGGACCGTCAAAGTAGGAGGCTGTCCGGCCGCGACTGGCGCTCGCATGGACGGGACGCTCGTCAGCTGACGAAGGCGTACGCGGTGAAATCCGAAGATAAAGCGAACGCCTGACGGTATATTGATAGCGTGGGTGCTGCGCCTGCCTGTACCTGAACGATAATCTCAATATTTCACTGACTCCGTCGCTCCAACGAATACTACCACTCCTTGCACGATGCTTCAAGTTGTCTCATCCTTTGGGAGCAAGCGAGCGGCCTATGTTGAATCATGCATCTTCCGATGTCAAAGAGCACAGCAGGCTCTTCTTCCGCACTCTACTCTCCGTCGTGCTGGAATGAGGCAGTTTCTTGGTGGAGCAACTATGGCGAGAGCGTCGAGCCCACCTTCGACCAATACAATGCGTATAATCCATGGCGGAAGTTTAATGCAGCGGTCGGATACAGCGTTCAGGTGACACATCGGCACGCACCGGATGGTCATGACCATGTCGTTCTGTCTGGGCAGTTCACGACCTGTCTTATTCTTTGTTGTCTTACGGTTGAAATAAAATGCGAGTCAAATCGTCACTACGAGTGAAAGAGCCTTCGATAAGAGTTATAAAATTCACCTATTGATGACATAGTAGACTTAACAGCGAGCCTGACAATACGGAATCAAGCAATGATATCAAACCTTCACCGTCCCAGAAATGTAAAACTTCGACATGGAGACCAGAACGGCCGTAGACGATTCAGACCAGTCGGGTAATCGATGCATGAGGGGAAGACGGCTGAGGTTATGCCGTACTGCCCACTTATAATTGACAATGAATTCATGAGCAACTCTGGCCCGCGCCCACAGAAGGCATGGACCCATTTGTGACTACGTTTCTCTGTTAGGTCCAACGAAGAACCGATGCAGTATGCTGAGATTCGGACGTAGAGCAAAATGGCAGAATCCCAAACTGGATTTACGAAGTAGACTCAATGATGAGTATTGGGACCATGTTTCCGTTTGAGTAAATGAAAGTATGCTCACGTCAGCCTATATCGGCCCAGGACAAATGCCTGCATGTTCGTGCCTCCTCAGTGCATCAGGTCTGGAGAAACACGTGCCGCAAACCAGGCAAATGGGCGAAGTGGAGCGGACGTGCACGAAAGCAACGTGCTTCCCAAAATTGGCGTACTTTATCTTCCTGTTGCAAACGGTGTGGTGCAGCTGAAGAGGGACGCCAGGTGGAGGGTCCGGGCGACGGACAATCCACTGGCATCTTCCAGTCATGGCGGGGCCGAGGGGTTGCAAATGAAATTGTTTGAGGTGACGGGTGCAACCAGTAGCGATGGTGTCATCTAGTAAAATCCCACATCCATCCCACTGGCAAACCTGTTGGCTCATGTTACATAGCTTCTAACGACCGAAGCCGAGATACGTACCGCACCGGTCTGACTCCCTGCGTTCGAGGAATACGGTACAGATGTAGGCAAAGTTAATACCGAGACGATTACTGTTGCCCCAGGGAGAAATATAATGCAGTGATTGTTCAGATGGATAGACCAGCGAATATCCGTAAGCCCACGAAGAAGAACCACGAATGAAGTCACTAACCGCTGTCAGTTTCCTTGTCTCGTCGATCGGGTTCGACAGTCTTCTCGTTCAGACTTTCCGAATACTCGGTTGTTCCTGCGACGGTTGTTGTCGGGGAAGTAATAACAGACATCACATGGTCGAACGTGCCAACTACTCAAGCGAAAAATGCCATTAGCTTTGTGAAGACATGCCTACATGAACACATACCACCGAGCGAATCCGTTTGTATATTTGGTCTAAGAGCGTTCAATAGCTCGACCAGATCGCCAGGAAATTCTTCGCCCTATTCGGATATCAGCTTTTCTTGCTTGTGGAATGCGCAAGAGCAGACGTCACCGATGCGTACCATCGAGATGATTTCAGTGTCTTCATCGCATGCTACAGCCCATTCGGCATCCGAATGCTAATCGCATAGTTAGTGGTAACAATGTCGACGGGCTCTAACATGAGCGGTGGACAATGGACTGCTCACCTCGAGAATATAATCCAGCAATATGTCATCGGGATCGTATGGCTGTCGAAGCGGTCAGCATTGTCTAGCGGTCGGTTCTGTGTAGAAGCACCTTGCAGCCACTGGGAACCTTCCGAATCACGGAATCCTCTGCGGGCTCGTTCACATAGCGGGGACTTCCCGATGTCAGCGATTCCGCATTGTTGACATCGTCGAGATCCAGAGTATCTGGCCCGACAGCAGCAGCAGCCTCTACAGGAGAGAATGCGCGCTGTTTCACTTGAAAATAGTGAAGGAAGACACATTGATCCTTCCTAGGTGGGTCTTGGCTGTAATTGATGGTAGTGGATAGCGATGTTCCATTGTGTCGCCTCGTAGGCTGCCGTCGTTCTTTGTCGTCGGCAACCTCCGCGGTTGGAACGCGAGAACGGCTTCGTCCAGATCTATGATAAATTGTAACGTCTCGTCGGTCTGGCAACCGACCCAAGGCAGTCGCCTGCAAATCAGAATTTGCAGTAAAATCAATCTCAACGAGCCATTCGCCACCCGCGTACGATGTTAATGCCCATTCCGTCGTTTTAGACCAACCGGAGACAAAGATTATGTCTTCCACTTTCAGGTCGATGTCGCATTCGTCCCGGATGAACGAACGCCAGTGCCCGATATTTCGTGCCACATATCGAGGAAGCGAAGCAGATCGAGCGAGCTTCTGTCGGTCGGCAGGTTCTCTCAAAATAAGCAATGCGCCTTTATCGCGTTGACATTCAAGCTTGAAGGTCCCACCAAGTCCATCTCTCAATATCAAGAGACTAATATCAGCACCAACAGCCCACAATCCTGCTCCAATGGATGTCACTTACGCCATGACTGATGCATCGCGCTCAGTTTCCCTAACGCCGCTGCTATGCAGTATCCCCACAGGGATCGCATCCGCGTTGGTCGTCACGGCACCCAGTGGAATAGGATATTGCTCCAAGTCATCTGGTACGCGGCAGCGATTGTTTTTTGGGCCATCTGCAGGACGAGTGGCATTGAAGAGACGGTGAAAGGCGCCATCTTCGAAGAATCCCACATCTCCTATCAGGACTTCGCCAAAGATGGTGGGCTCAGGTCTATAGAGAGGATACCCATGCCCGCACGGAGACAGCTCTTCAACGTAGATTTCGTGTGGTAGGGTAGCGTTAGGCATGCTATGAGGCATGTGTGGTTTTATCCAACGGGGCCCGATGCGGTGAAGAGAACTGGTCCTTTATCGTGCGCGGTTTCTGAGCACTTCGACGATGTTCTGGCAGCGACGTTCGTCCGACATAGTTCCGCTGGCACATATCATGTGGCTAAACGTTCGTTTCCACATTGAAAATGAGGCGAAGATAAAGGGAGGCGCCTTGCGTAAGTGTCTCATCGTGCATGTTTGGCGCGAGTTTTGACGCACGCAGCACGCACCAACTAGACACTGACCCTCTCGAATGTCATCGATGGACCTAGATGAAATCTCGAACCTGTCCTCTTACAAGAGGCGCACCACATTAGGAGCTCCATGTATGGTCTTCATTGTCTGCGTCGAGAATGTCTTCTGTGGATTCTCCGAACTGTCGGCATGTTCCCTCAGTGATCCTTCTATGATTAACAGTAACGAGACGTCTGGCAGGGAACTGCACGTCGTTCTAGGGGTCTCTATGCCGAAGACTGGCTGGTCATCTTGAAACTCTTATAGCACATTTGATCCATGGAAGAACGATCGAGCCCAGCGCACATCACGTCGAAGGCACCAGACGTGCCGGACGAGTGTCGCTGGGCCCTTTGCACTGTCCATTCTTTGCCAATGGGAGGGACACCATACAGCACAGACCGTGCCACTCTGAGGCCCTGCCTATGATGTGTAAGGTAACATCCAGCACACCAAGGAAGCGAGAGCGTACGCAGGTCATCGAACACACGTTGCAAGCCGGCAGATCGGGAAGATTAAACCTTTTTGGTTCCGCAATGTGATGTACCCTTCATGTCACGGAATAATCCGACGAAGAAAAGGATACGGGATAGGCGACGAGCCCTCGAAAAGTGAGGCCATGAGGAGCGAGGGCCAGCGGTCCATGATCAAGTATCACCGCAAAATGAAATGCCATGCCAGCATGCTCTCGTCCCTGCCGCTTATCCCCAATCTTGACACCCGCTCGACAACAAGAAGCATGGAAAAATCGCGAGAAGCCAACTCCGCAGTGATGCATCCAGAGCATCTTCCGACTCGGATGGAGCGCCACGGAGCCGAATAGTCCGCCTTTGCATGCTTCGCGAGCCGTGAACATTGTCCTGGAAACCCCCGTTTGTAACGTCCACATGCAAGGAACGTGCAGGACGAAAATCCAATCCGTGACAACTCACCGGAAACGCTCACACTGGGGAACGAATGGGACCGCCCTGGATAATCCATGCGTGCCATCGCAGGAGCAAGAGAAAGCATGCTCCGCGCTCGATCGTATACCCCGACGAGACAAAACGCGACAAAAGCGCGCTCTTGTCCCTTCCTATTTGCAGGTCGCTTATGCCCACTCGGGGGCGACGGCCTTGAGAAGGTGCACACCGAGTCGCATCGTGAGTCATTCGTGTGATATTGATGCGCAAATAGGAGGAAAGACGCACGTCGGGGCATGTCTGCCTGCCTGCGACCACATCAAGACTGCACAAAGGATACGTGTTCGCGCAGATTCGGGTACGCGTGTGGAAGGGCGGAAGTGCACGACGCGATATCGAGAGCAGCAGGTCCGGCCGCCTTGGCCACCGGGTTCTACGCCAGCCTCCACGATGATGCCTTACATTGCCGAGACAGCCGAGAAGCGGCACGCAAGACGCTAATAGGAGGAGACGAATACAATCAAACATTCTATGTTGGGACGAGACTGCGGCAACGCACTTAGTATCCCATTCATGTTACCGACATGAACGGTACTCGCTTCGCGTGCGCCGCACACCAGAGCCACCAATTCTACGCACGACCATCATGATCACAGATGCGAGCATGTATCGCAATAAAGCGTGACAAAGTGCGCTTCTCTCGCTGCCTCTTGGCATATCCTTTGCGCCCACTCGAGACAGACAGAGAGAAGAACTTGAGAAGACACACCGAGCTGGACTGTGAACGGTGCGAGTGAGATCGCCGTCAAGATCTTCTTGATGGACAGTCGGCGGAGGACAAGCGTAGGTACACGCGGCTGAAAGCACAGTCGCCGATGGGCCATACAAATTGCAAGGCAGTCACCGTGTAGATGTTCAATTGCTACAGCGACTCATCCTGGACTGACAGCAGTTGGCATAGTACGCAGAGACGAAGTAGGGCGTCAACGTAGCGCGCCGGCGCTTTCACCTTCGAGCTCAAGTGCAAGCTCCAGCTTCTCTTCAGCTCCCACCGACATCTTCTGCCGATGAGACTGACCTGGGTAACCACGATGGCTACTATCACTACACATGTTAATTCACCGCGAGTACTGGCTACTACGTCCATCACTTCCAAGTTCCGGCCTGCTGTCGTGATGCGACGTATCGACAACTGCGCTCGTCCATTCCTTCGATCCTGTACGGCGCGCTAGCCGGTCAATGTGTGTTCCGGAGGAAAGCGCCTCTGGCTGGGCTCATGTCATCTGGCTGACAAGAACATCTCACTGTGGCCACACGGGCCATACGCGCATGCTGCCTCTGTTCTGTCGACTACGCCTCGTACGGTCAAACGGTATTGTATCTTGCAAAACATTTGCAATCCATGAATCTCCTTCCGCTCCCACTGAAGGATGCATCCTCAAGCTCGTCGAGACTGTTGGAAGTAGCCGACCGACGGCACTTTCGGTAGAACGCGCTCAACGTGTCGGGAGGGACGAGCGCCAAGCGACGGCTGAAACGCGTCGCAGGCGGTACCTGGAAACGGAGCGGGCGAGTACGGAAGGGTGGAAAAGACATATAAGTACGCACCTGTAGTACCATAGGCCCCAGTCGTTTGTGGCCTCACCAGCCTCTCACTCCCTTGCACCCATGAGACGGGAAGGTGCCGGCTGGCTAACACCCTTGCTGCACCAGAGAGATGACTATACAGCAGATCAGCTTTCGGCAGCGACTGTGAATGAGTAGATAGATTTGGCTTGATCAGTGACGCTGCAGGAGCACGGCGATGTGCGTTCTTCCTTGTAATTCCTTTTGGATGTCAAAACAAATTTGTTTAACGGACAAGAAGAAGAGTCACGGAGGATCAACGTCAACGCTGGGCCGAGGCGCGACTATGATGATGGGATTCAGAGTGCGGCTCCATTCGCATTCACCACACCGTGCATCAGCCCCCCTGCCCCCCTCTCTTCTCACCGACACTAATTCAGCTTCTTCGCTATGCACGCTCCTCACTTTCGTACGTACGCCGAATATGCAGTTCTTTGACGATAGGGATGACGGTTTAGGTGCTTGTTCGGAGATGCGCCAGCGGATCACAGACAGCAAGCATGTCATTCGCCCGCCGTATCCTCTCTGTCAGTCTTTAGGTGGTGTGTGGGCCCGAGAAGACGCGTACTCGCCGCCCAGCCATCCTTCTTCTGGTCTTTCTCGAACTATCATTTATCTCAAGCGATGCACATCATGCCGACAGGTTCATCCATTCTCGAACATGCAAGGATGCTTGCCGAACGTGACCGATCCACATGTGAGGACGCATCCTGTGCATTCGCGGGGGAGAGGGGGTTAACAGTATGTGCCAGCACACAAATATACCTACGGACAGCGAAGAGGCTGGTGGACGGCTTGACGTCCATCTGTATAAGTCGAGACATTCATGATAACGTACAAGCGCGAGGTCAGCCTCTTCGATGGTCGCCTCCTTGTCCGAGACGGTGTGTGTCATAGTTCTCATTCTATAGTCGCTCAAAACCTTTCAGGTCAATCTTTCTTCACGCCTGTAGCTTAGGATGCGCGAGTTTGCAGCTCGACAATAGCCCATCGTATGACGATTGCTCATTACGCGTGCTGAATGTCTTGTGTGCTTGATCGTGCAGATCCTGTGACTATGACATCACCCATGGATGAATCGAGTACGGATGAGTCGCCTTCAAGAGGACAGATGGGTGTTGTGAAGCCAGGAATGTCTGGCTCTCCGATTTATATTGAGATGCCGCTGAAGTAAGTGTGATACCGCAAGTTCCGATACAACCGTCCAACGTTACTAGATACTGATGTACAATGAAATCCACCATGATACGAGGGTCGCAACTGTCAAACGCGTACATATACAAATGAGCTAGAGACAGCAAAACTGTCCATAACACGATCATAAAAGTATTGGGACGAGCGGCCTAGGTAGCAATCGATAGCAACCCTTCGACACCATTCTTGAGGTCGCTCGGATATTATGATGCGATAATGATAGTCTCGTTCCCAACTTGCATAAAAGGCTCAGGGCCAGCCTACAAGAGAACGTCAACACCACCAACACCAACATGGAAAACCATCACTCACGCCAATAAGCGCCAAATGGGTCGCGCTCAGGGACGCTTCGCCTGCGGACATGCTCGCCGGGATCTGTACCGTGAAGTTTTGATACGGCGGCCACTCCGTCGAGTGGTACACAGGGTCGTACGGTCCTATGTACAGGATATCGCCGAGCTGCTGCGTCGTGTCGAACGATGCGCAGCCGTCGCTGTATCCCGCACATGACTTGAGACAGATCGCGAGGCCGACTTCTATTGACGGGGTTGCGGGGACCTAAGAGAAAGATAGTGAGCCAGGAACTAGACTATAGCGGCAGTAGAAGAAAAAAAGAATGTTTCGACGTACGGGCTGGGCTACGAGGACGGTGATGTTGCTGCCAGCACTGACAGTTGTCCCTGCCGCGGGATAGTCGACATAGATCCACTGAGCATGCACAGACGCGGCAAGAATGCCGAACAGAATGAGGGATTTGATGAAGGCGAACATTGTTCGAATAACTTCGAGTTATTTTCTCTTGGGTAAGCACAAAGCTAAGGCTCTTGCACTATGACGCTGCCAGAAAGTCTCCCTTTATACTGACCAAATTCCATCGTTATTTCAGGCTGCGCTGTTGCTACAAGGTACACGGCCCGACATCAACCCGCTGCGAAGCGTCTGGCTGCATAGCCACTCTCCAATACATGCGAGCGTAGATCGTCCGCGGCCTGTCTGATCAAACCCATTCGCGGTCTACTCTTCATCCAGCATGGAACAACGTAGTACCACCTGGTCCAGCACGAACGAGAAGACAACGAGCTTCTCGAGGTGAACCTTCTCCGCGTGATTTTCGCTGGTCGCGACCTCCTTGGCCAACGTCATCCGTATTAGCCCTCGGAAATAAGTTGCTGGTATCTGCATGGACATACCCCGCCATAAAGTTTCGCCGTCTGCTTTACATGGGACTCAAATGAGATCCGCCCTCATACAGCTTCGGATGACGTCAGCAAAAGCGGCCACGAAAGGCCAGAGCCAGCATCGTAGTTTTTGATGGGGATTAATGTCCGTGGTCCTGTAAAGGCAGCGGCATCAGTACTCCAAGACGAAGAGGCCGTGAGGTGCAGACGCCGACCTCGTTCTCAGTATCTATCGTGCACGAGATTACGAGGGACGACGCGACGCGTTGACGCACGTTCTCATTCGTTGCAGCAGTAGTCCATCGTGACACTACCGTCTATCTCCTTACCAGCACCCCTGATCCGATTCCAGTGGCCGACCTCGGGGCGCACGCGGACATAGATTTGCAGCAGTGGGAAGAAAATAGCGTGATTAAATGCCTGAGCGAGGGATATGTAAACGATGATTAAGCAGAAAGGAAGATAGAATGACAACCACAAAGCCGCAAGTACGGACCATATGTACAGGCGAAGGGAATGGATGTCTGCTCGGTGGTCAGTCATATAGGATGCCCGAGAGGAGCACGCGAAATACTAGTTTCATCCACGGACAAGAAGAGTTGCATCATCTACTTCGTTCAAGGAGCCTTACATGGCCCCGCTCGTTCGTGCTCCCACGCTTTCTTTTCCGAGTCACAGACCGCACAACAGCTCCGCGTGCACCATTGGTAGAGATTCCAGTGAAAGAGTCGCCGAACCTGGGTAAAGCAGCTGCTCAGTGCAACGTCGATCGATCGTGAATGCAGAAACTTGGAACTTAAGAGTCTCACCATGTAGCCCGTGCCTGCCGCTCAAGCAGGGCCTAGGTAATGAGTGTATGTACACACATGTACAGCCTTAAGGCCACAATCGATTAAAGGAAGTCCGTTCTTTGAGATATGAGCATGACAAGACGAGATGACATGTCCCGCCAAAAGTAGCTCCGTTGATGTCCTCATCCAATTACCATAGAACTTGATTCTGTGATGTCCGAACTGGGAGTATCGTTCGGCCATCAGAGGTCTGGGTTGGTTACATACCATGTAGACAAACTTATAGTTCTTTCACGAGTTGAACAGCTTGACCCCAATTGCCTAAGGCGGTCTGAAGGTCAATCCGTACCCAAAGGCTGTTTTTACCCCCAGCGATAGCTTGAAGGTGAAAGCGGATCGTGCCTTGCGCAATTTGCGCAACGTTCTGCGAGTTGTCGATTTGAATCTGAACGCCACTCTGCAGATTTCCACCAGGCTTCCCGATTGGTCGGTCAGGGCCGGTCCAAAACTTTTTTTTTTTTTTGAGTACAATTTATATACCGCCGAAGGCGGTCGTAGGTGTGGGTACAAAGTGGTGTCTACGGTGGACTGGGCGCACCCAGGATCGAATACAAAGCATGCACATCAGCACGATAGCAAAGAAACCCCTCATCCTGGGTCCCAGGGAACCAGCGAGGTCTTGGTAAAGGCATCCGTCTCCGTGAGGAACGCCGCGAGCTTTTGTCGGGCGTGCTTGGAGGCGAAGAGCCGCTTGAGTCGAATGGGACGTGCAGGGTTGCCAAGATGGTGGCGACTGTGGGTGTAGAGCGGGCAGTGAACGAGCAAGTGCTCGCGTGTCTGTAGGTTAGTGGTGCGGCACTGGCATTGTGTGGACTCTTCTGCCACAAAGCGATGGTAATAGCTGCCGACGTGGCCATGCCCCATGAGCAGCTGGACAAGTCGGCACTCGACATTACGAGGGTCTTCGTTCTTCTTGAAGTAACAATGCAAGGTCAACTTAGGCTCGATCGTGACTGCTGCACGGAATTCGGATGGATGTGCGTCTCGACGGAAGTCACGCCTCCACTTATGAAGGGCTCTTATGCGTGCAGATCCCTTCGCCCACACCAGTGAAGGTGGATGAGTAGCTGGGGAGGAAGCACCGTGCTTCGCCAGACGGTCAACGATTTCATTGCCCAGAAAGCCAGCATGACCAGGGATCCACACGATTTCAATGCGCAGATCCGGTCGGCTTTCGAGCATCTCGGTTATCTTCCTATAGAAGAGGATGGAATGCAGTTGGCAGTCGTGAGGGCGGAGATCGAGAATCGACTCCACCGCTGCGCGATTATCTGAAGCAAAGACCACACATTCTACGTGCGGCCTGGTACGAAGCAGACGTGAGACATTCTCCGCCGCCGCAGCGAGGGCGAACATCTCAGCGTCGAACACCTCGGACTGACGTCCAAGGCCCCAGGATCGCTCGAGCAGAAGAGTTCCGGCCAGAAACACGCACGCACCTGCGCCCGCTCTAGGGACCCGATTATGCTTGAGTCGCGACCCATCGGTGTATGCCCACATCCAGGAGGGGTGGGTGGCAAATTCGTCCAGCTTGGGCTGGAGCACTTCGTCGACGAAGGTTTTTGAAGCACCTTTGAGGGGTGCCGGGGCGAGGACGTGAATGTGATCGCCCCACTTGTGGTAGGACTCCCATGGAGCCGCGTAGTAGGGAATGACGGGGACGACGCCTGGAGTCGTTCGCCGCGCCAACTGGTGGATGATTGTTAACGGGCGCCTGGCCCGGGAGATGACGCGAATAGGGATCGGGTACGGCTCGGGGACCGCGGTGATGGGCCAAGGATGAGGCATCCTGGCGAGTACCTGTGAAGTTGAAGGGAGTGTGTGTAATCGGACGGCGGCACGGTCGCATATGCGATTCAGCTGCCATCGCATGGGTAGGATACTGCCCAGGTGGTGCATAGCATCCACGGGTGAAGTGCGGAAAGCCCCCAAGAACCAGCGTAAACACTTGTTCTGGGCGATTTGCAACGGTCGAATGAGCGTCGCTTGGCGGAAATCATGAAAATAGACCGGTGCTCCGAAGGTGAGCACGGACAGAATGTTGGAAAGATAAATGGTGCGAGCAGCCTTGACAGACATGCCGCGAATGGTGTTGGCCAGCATACGGAATGCTTGGACCCGGGAAATAGCACGCGTCGTCATAACACGCACATGGTGACGGAAGGTGAGGCGCGGGTCTAACCAGAACCCAAGCCACCGAGTGTATGGGCGAGCAGGCACAATGAATTCGTCCCGCTCACCAGGAAAGAGAGTGATCATCGGCAAACGTACACGGTGAAGAGGGAGGTGAGGAAAATGGATGCCCTCAGTTTTCGCAGCCCCCACGCGGAGACCGAGGAGGCCGAGGGTGTGGTTCACGACAGGGACAGCCCGGACAGCGAAGTCCGTGGACATGTCGAGTGTGAGACCCTC